GCGCTCCAAAATAGCTGAATGAATATACAGATACTCTCAGTTTCCTTTCAGTTAATGATTTGACTATCTGAAGTTGAAAGTGTGTCATTGTGTGAAAAGTATTGTCTGTATGAACCCCTTAGAAGTGTTAACAAAGAATTAGGTGTCAGGAAGTTCTTATCTAACTCCCCTTGATATACCTGCAGTTTACCTGGTGCCTAACCAGTTTAATTTCCTCTTAAAACTTCTACTGGACTTACTTGCCCATCCTTTTGGAGGCAATGTTGATCTAGTGAAGGAATGGTCAGAGCATCTGTTTATGAAATTATTTTATTTTCTCTGCATATAAACATTACTTTTCAAAGGCAATTTCATTAACTACAAACTGCAGTTCTGTGGACTTTCAACAAGTTTAATTTACAAGGTTCGCCTTGAGACATACATATTTTTCTTAGTCTTAAAGCCCATTTTTGCACTCTAGTCCTGAAGAGTTGACTACATCTCCCAAATTAGCATTAAATGCTCTCTTCGGCCCATCTCCTCTCCCCTTGACATTTCATCAGATAGGGCAACCTTGGTTAATCCTAAAAGGAAATTTTGCAAATGGTTGACTTTTGTTAATCTCAAATTTTGAGAATAGATGGTAAAAGAGTTTCCTCAGATAACAGTTTTAAGCTGAGTTTTCCCTCCAAAAAAAATAAAATAAAAACAACAGCAAAACCTTCAGGACCGCTTTTGGGTACATTGGGTCAGGCAGCCCCGAAAGTCCTAATAAATGAATTAGCAATTCAGAAAGGAGACCACTGAGGGGCTGATATTGATCAAGGTCAGCGACTGTTTGCCTGCGTTTGTTAGGGGGGTGGTTAATTGCGTGTCAGCCTAGGCTTGTGTCGTCTCGCTGGCGCCGGGTGCTTTTTGGATTTGCTAATTTTCGTTAAGTGTCTCTACTCGTCCCCTGTCTACCCAGGAGAACTTAGCGGCTCCTACTGATCAACAGTCTGTCTGTCTGGGCTTTATTGATCACAGGGCAGGCGGCTCTTAGAGGATGCACTGGGGGGAAAGTGTGTGTGGGGGGGAGGGGAGCTGAAAGCAAACCCGAGCCTGGCCACCCTCCTTCCAGGCTCCCGGCTGGACCCCCCTCCATCGCCACACGCCAGCCAGCGGCTCTCGGCAGAAGCGCACGCCGGGGACCGTCACTTGTCCCTGGGGCTTCCAGAGCGCGCAGAGTGGCGGGGGAGGGCTTTGGAAGGCGGCCACGAGGGCCCCTCGCGTGTTTCAGGGGGAACGAAAAAGAAAGCACGGGCTGGGGCGCTGGCCCAAGGCTGAGTTGTGAGGGTCTAGAGAGATAGACCCAGCGGCCCCGCGCGCCTCCCGAAGGTCAGGGACTCGCCTGCCTCCGCTAGAGGGAGCGCGGGA